ATTGATTTAATAAAATAAAATTCTGATACATATCAGCCGTGATTGATTCCAATTGATGCATTCATTGTGTAATCTCCAAAGTATGTATATCAACATTCATCCCTACGCGTTTCGCCTTTCAAGCTTCTTCAGGGGATAGGATTCATCTATTAAATGGAAATTGTACATAAGGTTATTGTATTTCCTTAGTTTGGGCATGCCCATCTTGCTGTAGTGCCTATGTTAAGTGGGGGAACACATTGCTGGAATTAACCCCCATGTGCGGAAAACCACACACGGGGCAGGTGTCTGGTACTCACCTGTATGGAGCACCTGGAGGTGGGTCGACATGAGGAGGACTGGGATGAGGTGGGTGGCTAAATCTAGCCCTGCCATCACATACCGTCCATCATCTCTACCGGGACCCCGGGCCTCAAAGGAAGGAATGCCCTAGGCACTGCAAGAGAGCCAGATCCCAATCGGAGCGGTGACCTGTAGAGAGCATATAGCAAAGATCAACTAATGATATTGCTTGTTATTTGATAGATCCAGTGAGTGACATTGTGCAAATTGCAAAATAACTTAGTTTGAATATATATATGTATACATATACATACACACACACATATACATATATATATTATATATACATGCACATACATACATACACACACACACATATATGTGGTCTAGCCAGTGTTGGCTACTACTCTATACAACCTTTTAAGTGTGCCATGTTCTATGAATAGGCATGTGTTTGTATGGACTTAGTGCAATAATACCTTCTTTCAAGGATAAGTGATGTGAGTGAAGAAAATAAATATATAAATATATACTCACATATATACGTGAAAAATTGCTCCTACGTTTCCTTAGGTGAAAGTCAATTGCTGTTAGTGAATGTGTATCACATATATATGTGTGTGTCTGCAGTCTAGAGCATGGCAGCTGCATGTGTGTTTCCCAAATCCCAAATGGGATGTATATATACTGATGAATACTGATGAACACTGCTGTTAGGTGTGTCGATTCCCCACTAATTGGAGCACAGCAACAAAAATCAATGCCTCAAATAAGTGACAACCAAAAAAACAAAAAAAAACAAAAAAACCCAAAATGAACAAAAGAGGGGGAAGGGAAATTACCTAATTCTAATCCGAAGTGTATAAGGGTGTGCTGTCCTCAGCTCTCAGCTCCAAATGGTACGCTCTCTGCACTGGCCCCAGTGACATCCCTCCCCTTAAGTAACCCCCAACGCCGAGTTGGACGCACCGGACACAGGTGTTCCAGGCGCCGATCGGCGATGTGGACTCACATTTGCGCATGCTCCGGTAAGCCGTGCATGCGTCCTGCAATCCCCATCCGCCGATACCTCAGTAACGAGGGAAGCGATCCACAAGGGCCACCCCCTCGTTTAGCATGCAAAAGGACAGCTGTCCAAGCACGTTAGGTACGGTGAGCACTTGGCGATGGAAAAAGGCCAGGGCGACACAGGAGTGAAGTCCAGAGGTCCCAGCAGAGGACTCCGTCTACGCCAACACCCCATGTTCTTCACTAAGTGAGGCATCCGATCCCCATTGGGGATACACGCCCTAATATGCCTATGTTAGAGTAATCTGTAATCGATCCCAGTTTCCATTAATTTATGATTCATAAAGGGTATGTCCTGTCTCTTCTCTGCTGGATACAAGGGTCACACATACATTGCTTTATGCTCCAAACATTTACTGAAATCTTCTGAAAGTAGAATATAACATCTTGACCAGGAGATAAGACACTCACTCGAACAGCATGTTGCTTAACTGTGGTTGAAGCATCTATTGCAATGTAACAATTCTTGTTTGTGGTCCGATACCCCGCCCCCCCCCTCCCCCCCAATGGCCTGTGGTGTGCCTTGGCCTTCTCAGGTCAGTATGCCTAAAAGGGGGCATACTCTGATTGTAAATGAAATGAATGAAATGAATGAAACCAAGGGGAATGGGCGAGTGGGGACGTTCGTGACCCGCCGACGTGAATCCCCTGTGAGCCGTGCCGTGCCTCCTCCCACAAATCAAGGCTAGCCTTCGGCCAGCCTTAAAACATCAAAGTGTCTTCAGCATCCCTATGAGCCAGGGCATCCCTGGGAAAGACAGCCCCCACCACATGTTCTTCTCAAGACCAGGAAACTCTGGTGAGTCATCATATAACATGCTTGGTTGTCTTCAGCCCACAGTGGAATATCTCACTCTCGCAGCCCTCCATGGAATGACCTTCATGCACCAACCACAAGTAATCTTTTTCCTGATTGGAGGAACATTTTCTCCAAACATAAAACAGTTGCATTCTGAATATATTTTGAAATTAGAGTGAGGCCGTACTGCATATCTTAATGAATTGGTGGGTTCTGCATAGCCTCATTGGTGTCTTCTCATAAGCCATTCTGAATGATATATTTCACCCTATGCAGGAGGTAAATGAAATCCGTAAGCAATCTTCTGGTTCCGTTGATGTTGAAGTGGATGTTGCTCCAACTGTAAACCTTGGAAAAGCCATGGAGGATATGAGAGAGCAGTATGCGAAGATGATTGAAAAACAGAGACTGGAGGCAAAGTTCTGGTTTGATAAGAAGGTAAGGAGGTCATTAGCAATAAGCCCTCGTTCACACCTGAACGTTTTGTAGCGCGTTCTACGCTCGAAGAACGCTCTACAAAACGCTCAAAAATATAAATTGCATTGGAGTCAATGGACTCGTTCCCACCTTGCCGTATTTCCGCCCGTCCCGAACGCGCTACAAAACGGCCCACGCCTGAAAAGGTACAGGCACTACTTTGGGCCGTTTTGTAGGGCGTTTTCCATTGGAATACAGTCAAGTAGCCTTTGGAATCGTGCGACGGTCGCGCGTCTTTTTTACCGCGAATCGCGGTAAAAAAAAACGCGCGACAGACGCGCTTTTGCAATACGCCTAGGTGTGAACCCAGCCTTAATATTAAAAGTAGCAGATTAGAAAAAAAAAAGAATTACTGTCTCAGCAGATTATTGGCTGCAAGCATGCTTTGTCTATTTCTCTTAGGACCTATTTACACTCATGCATTGGAATAATGCCCTGTAAAACATGGGAATATGTATACTGTGAAGTGAAACCCGAGTATACTAATAAAACACTAGATCATTCACCCACACTGTAGCCCACCACACTGAACTTGACATATGGTGTGCTTTGCCACGTTAAAAAAATGGGCTGCCTGAATGCTACACATGTTTTTGCATAACCCTCCATTGTTAATGCTTATTCATTAACACACCACAACACACCAATTAAGTATTATTAAGCCCTAAGGAATTCAAGAGTATACTGTAAATATACATACATTGTTACAAGAAACAGGAGTGATAAAAAGCATACTAAATATCATAAAAAAGTATGGGCTTTTAAAGGTGTTTGCACATACCCGAAGCAGCCTCCAAATCCCTGACAGCATTTTTTTGTTCAGTGACAGAGAGCTTTTAAGGGCAAAACTTCAGCTATACAATACCCTAGAATATTTAAGAGACATCTGTAAATTCCCTGGAATACATGGGCTTGCTGTGTAGATGGTATTTTTTGGAGTTCAGCATTAAATGCCTGCTAGATCCAAGGACTAGGATGCTCACAATAAATTAGAAAGAACAATAGAATTAATGGACTAGTAGGTATACCACTGAGCAAACACAGCAAACATGAAGTCCAGTTGTTGGATTACAATATCATCCTTTTTGTTTTTTTAATTCAGATGACTAATGTGGAAGTTTGGCCCTAAGGCCGGCAAAAATTCATGGAACACTGGCTTAAAGGAGAACTATGGGGTTAGGGCTTTCCCCATAGTTCTCCTTAGGGTAACGGGAGGACACAAACTAGCATCCTCCCGTCACCCTAAGATCAGTATACCGCGAGCTACAACTCGCGGTATACTGAGAGGCCGCAGTATACCGCGAGCTACAATTCGCGGTATATTGAGATGCCACAGCTGAAGTGGATCCCGACAATTATGTCTGGATCCGCCCAGCTGCGTGAATGACAGCTGGCTCTGCCTATCTAGAGGCAGAGACAGCTGTACTCGCCCCCTCCCCCGTCCGTTCCGCCAGTCAGCGCTGGAGGATCGGAGCGGGGAATCCAGCCCCTCCCCTGTCACGGCAGAGGGCCGTGACAGGATCGAAAAGTGAGCGAACGCCGGTATGTGTTCGCTCACTTCCCGATCTACTGAGCCGACCTGTGACAGTCTCATTGTCACAGGTCGGCTAGAACTATGAGGTGAGTGAAAAGCACTCACCTCATAGTTCTCCTTTAATGACCGTATTCAGAGAGTAGTGATTAAAGATTCATACTCTGAATAGTCTAAGGTTGTTAATGGAGAACCCCAAAGTTCAATGATGGGATCCTTACTTTGTAACCTATTTATAAATGATATAGAGCAAGGGTAGGCAACCTTGGCACTCAGCTGTTGTGAACCACAAGCCCTGGGAGGCATTGCAAAGCTCTGACACTGGGGCGTAACTAGAAATCACAAGGCCCCATAGCAAAATTTTCTATGGGGCCCTGTAATTTCTAGTTACGCACCATGCACAGCCCACCTGATGTCCCAAACAGCCCATCTGAGAGTGACCCTGCAGAGCTCACCATAGACTCTCTATCCTCCACTGGTCACACCCCTGCCCACCTCTTACCTGTCAGCCCCAATCTGCTGTCCGCCTCCTCCTCCTCTGCGGTCACTGGAGGGTCCCGCCTCCTCCTCCGTCACTGGGCCCCGCCTCCTCCTCCGCTGCTGATGTCGGGCCCTGCCTCTACCAGCGCAGCTGCTGGCTGTCACTGACTCAGAGGTGGCTATGAGGAGGAACGCGCCGCTGCACAGATCACTGACAGGTTGTTCACAGCCACCAGTGACATCCAGCAGCCTTAGATGCCATAGCGACCCGCATGGCATCAGGGGGACCTCTTTGTTCCTCATCCTGGCTGGGCCCCCCTGTGCTCTGGGCCCCATAGCGGCCGCCTGGGTCGCTATGGTGATTGTTCCACCACTGCTCGGACAGCCACAGACATGACTCCCAAAAGCAGAGACATGATAGAAATTGTAGTTCTTGTTTTTGTGGTTGCCTACCCCTGAAACAGATTAAAAGTACAATTTCTCTGTCTGAAGATGACACCAAGCTATGTAGTGAGATGCAATCCTTACAAGACATCTGCAACTTACAATTAGACTTGAATTCACTGTTTAAGTGGGCAACAATGTGGCAAATGAAAATGAATGTTAATAAATGTAAAGATGTGCACTTGGGGAGTAAATATGCATTCATCGTACACTTTAGGGGGAGTATAACAGGGGAGTCAATAATCCAGAGGGATCTGGGTGTTCTGGTAGATCATAATAGCTTGTAATGTCAAGCTGCAGTTTCTAAAGCAAGCAAACTACTTTCTTGTATTACAAGAAGTATAAAGTCCAGAGGGAGACATAATCTTGCCCCATTAGTAAGACCTCATCTGGAAAATGCGGTCCAGTTTTGGGCACCAGTTCACTAAGAGGATGTTGTGAAACTGGGGAGTGCAGAGAAGAACAGCTAAACTGATACGCAGCATGGAGCAAGAAGCAAGAAGAAGCAAGGACTTCGCTTGAAGAAGAGGTTAACTAAACTGAATTAGTTCTCCTTTGGGAAGAGGTTTTTAAATTGGGATATGATCACCATGTATGAAAACATAAATGGTCCATAAATGGTCCATATAGTAAACTTGGTGCAGTTATTCACTCTCGCCATTACAAAGGACACAGGGGCAGGAAAAAAGGTTTAACCTCTATGTACGCAAAGGCTTCTTCACAATAAGAACTGTAAAACTGTGGAGTAGACTTCCTCAGGAACTAGCTCCAGCTAGCTCAGTTGAATGTTTAAAGAAAAACCTAGATGCATTCCTAAATGCACAAAATAATACTAGATGTTAACATTTTAAAAGTAATAACACAAGAGGCTGTTGATGCAGAGAATATCTGATTGGCAAATTGTCCCATGCTTTAGAAGGATTTATTTTTGCCTTCCTCTGGGTCAGCTGTGGGTATAGAATTATGTTGATGGGGGTTTTTATTTGATTTATTTTATTAATTGTTTTTTATTGGTTGAACTCGATGGACTTGTGTCTTTTTTAACCTGACTAGCTATGCGATCATGTATTTTCAGTTAGAAGATTGGAATGAGGAGGTGCACGTCAATACCACAGAGCTAGAGAAATACAGGAAGGATTTAACAGAGGTCAAGCAAACTGTGCAAAATCTGGAAATACACTCTCAGGCTGAATTTAGCAAGGTAATGATTCTTTCAGACATAATGTGGTATACATAATCTTCTCTGCATTGTTACAAATTAAAGGTCTGGAAAATAAACTTTACATTGTTTTCCATGGCTCTGGTACCATGGGGGCATCTAAATATCAGAAAGCTCCTCATATTCAGTCTCTTTTTTTAATCAAAGTTTATCCACCAAGTCAAATTGTCACCCACCAATCATTTGCAGGCTTTCAAATTCTGTCAGAAAACTAGAATCTGATTGGTGGCAATAGAAAACTCAGTCTGTTGTTAAAGTATATCTAAAACTAAAGTTTTTTAAATCTTTGATATACAGTAGTAGAGAAGGGATAAAATGAAGGATGCACTGATACCGATACTAGTATCAATATCGGTGCCAATACCGAGTATAAATGCTCCGATGCCTAGCCCGATACTTCCTGTATCAGGAAGCCGGGCAGCGTGTCATTACACGCTGCCTGGTTTCCTGATTGGCCGGGAGGCGGCTCCATGCTCTCTCGTCACTTGTGATGAGAGTGCTTGGAGCCGACGCAGCGCCCGGTATTCTGATTGGCCCAGGAAGCCGGCTTCATGCTCCCTCATCATCTCATGACAAGAGAGCATGGAGCCGGCCTCCCAGCCAATCAGAAAGCAGGGCACCACGTCATTACACGTCGCCCAGCTTCCATGATTGGCCAGCAAGACGGCTCAGGCTGGGTACCGGAGGAAGGTCGCTCCTGGCTGGAGAGGCCCCGGAGGTGACAGGCTGGACATGCTGAGATGAGAGGGGACAGACTTTCTTGTTAATCGGGAAGCTGGGTGGCAAGTCTTTACACGCTGCCCGGCTTATCGGCTAATCAGGAAACCAGGTGTCATTACACGCCACCTGGCTTCCTGAATCGGACTTCCGGTACCCGGTAATTGGTATCGGCGAGTACCGTAAAAAAATTATCGTACTCGGTACCAAAATATTGGTATCGGTGCATCCCTAGATAAAACCCATGTCATGGGGAGATTTACCTTTACTTTCTGTACTGTAAACACAACAGGAAGTGAAAGCAGACACAGTAAGCAACGATATCAGTAAAAACTAGGGATTCTAATCTTTCTGCACTCTATTCAAAACTAGAAAAAAAGATTTTGGCTTGACCTACACTTCAAAGCATAACCGCTGTCAGATTCTTTTTAGTTTTTAATGGAGTGAGGAAAGTCTATATCAAGTTTTTCTTGCTGCCTATGACTCAGGGTTGCCACCCGTCCAGTTTTCACCCGGACAGTCCAGTTTTGGAGTCTTGTGTCTGGGTGCCCAGCCAGCGGGCACCCGGACACAAGACACTCAGAGCCGACACTGGCAAGCGACATCTCGGGCAGCTGCAACGGCCTGAACCCGGATCTTCCTCAAAGATGCAGGCAGCCTGTGCCTGTTTACAGTGCCCACAGCTCAGAGGAAGATCCGGGTTTCAGGCAGATGCAGCAGCCCAAAATCGCACTTGCCGAGGACCTCGGAAGCCGCATCTGTGACTGCTCCTCCTCCGACTCCCTGACACCATGCTGCCCGCCTGTGGACCCCTGGTGAGACAACATAGCCCAGACAGCCCATCTGAGAGCCTCACAGGCCACAGGCCACCTGGAGACATCAGGGCACCAACCCAGAACGACACAGAGCATGTAGCTTTATATTATTTTGTATTGCTGTATAATGTATTGCTGGGGTTTGTAGTCCTCTATAGATGGTCTCTTTACTCCTTCTCCTTGCTCTCTCCTCTATATTAAAAAAAAACATTGTCGTGCACAGCGCTAGAGTGTTCAGGTTTCATTTGAAGAAAAGGTGGCAACCCTACTATGACTCCATTGGCGTGAAACCCCTGGAACACCAGTACAAGATATAAGGGGAATGGGGGTCATCGGAGAGGAAGTTATGCATGGCAATAAAAAGCCTGATTGTAGTTCTCACTTCATCCCAATGATTTTGGCTGAACTCCAGGCAGACATAAAAGATATAAACTAATGCAGCTTTGTAGTCAGTTTTAAATGCAAGCAATGTACGGTAAGTACCTGAATGTGACCTGATGTCAGCCTATTGCAGTCCTTGTACAGCAGAGCCATAGTGTAAGGGGGAGAATCAGCACATGTAGAGTTCAGGATGAGCTGAGCTCAGAGGAAGTGGATTGAGTAAAGCTGTCCATCAGATTGAGGATATCTAGTGGGAAAAAAAGGAAATCTCTAACTGAAATTGAATATTCCAGTACAAGCTCATTTTGTTATTTTTATCTTTTAACCACTTGATATCTGGCTAATTGTAAATAAATAGCCAGATGGCACAGTTTGAAAGTGGGTGGGCATTTTTAAATGACCTTTTCTGCCACCCTGTTCGTGCGTGCCCCTGCAAGTGCATGAGCAGGAAACTGCACACATTGTGTACAGGTGATGAAGGCTGTTGCATACAAGCATTCGGGCAGCTAAAGAGCCCACCGATTGCTTGTATGGTGCCTGGGGGTGTGCCCCGCTCCACCACTGCCACCGGCTATGCTGGGCTCCACTGTCTGTGCGGGCCTGGGACCAGCACAGCGGGTCTCTGTGGCTGGATCAAAGGGAAATAAGCACACTTTTACCAGCTGATCTCCCCTTCGATCACTGGACCCAGAATGTGTATTAAAGGGTTATTAAACCCTAATTTGTTTTTGCATATATCTACTGCTAGCAAGCAGTAGATATATGCAAAACGATAAAATAAAAACTTTTTCAAAGGGTTAATTAACTTACCTGTGTCTCCGACGCGCGCTCCTGTCTGAACAACTGAAAATTTCTTGGGTGGCTGCAAAGGATCTTGGGGCGGGTGCATGCTCAGTTCAGATGTTCGGCTGGGAGACGAGGAGAGACACATGGTAAGTCTATGGAGCAGCGTGCACCTGCAAAGACTCCGTAGGACATCAGAGAAGAGGACAGTGGAGTCAGCGCTGGATCTGAGACCAGCACCAGCGCTGGAGGGACAGCTAAAAATCCCTGATGTCTCCTTTAATAGGACCTGTCACTGTATCTGTGCTATTACATAGGGAGTTTCTTAGCCCCCTATGTGATAGCAATAAAGTTAAGTGTAAAAAAAAAAGTAAGGGAAGTTATAGCCTTTCCTACCCTAATAAAAATATTTTTTTTGGTGGGATTTAGTAGTTACCTTCTTTTTTTACCCTTTTTTCTTTTTTGACAAGTTAACATTGTGAGCAGCAAAGAGTTTGGATTCCATAAAGAATCTTCTGGTCTGGTCTACCTTAAATATGAAAAAAAAAGCATTTTGTCCATCATATTATTTGTTTGAGTAATGTCATTATTCATTGTAATTTTTCCATCTATTTAGTCATAACTGATGACACAAACCCGGACAATGATATTGCATTATCTATGAAATTGTGTTGCAAATATCCACACCCAGCTTCGTGTTTGCATTCTAGGAATCAGAGAGAAAATTAATTCTGACAAACGGCTAACTGGAAGAAAGTTTTTCCATCATGTGACAACTCCTTAAAGTTGCTATCGCAAAAAGTTGTATACATACCTGACTGGTGGGAGGCAGGTGAATTCTTTACTCTATTGCAAAGTTCCTGGTGCCACTGTTATGCTACACTTACACTTCTGGGTATGTCCCCACACCTTGGTGTGGTTGCTTCCACTGGCCAATACGTCACTGCAGGACAAAGCGGCTGGTGGAAGGAACCATGGTGAGCAGAGGGAGACGTAGGGGTCTATTCACAAAAGGGTGAAGAGTTTGGAGAAGGGAACAATCTAGGACAACATAGCTGAACTGGAAAGTGAGCTGAATTGGAGAAGTTTTCCAAATCGGCTATTTTGTCCTAGATTGTTCCCTTCTCCTGCCTTCTCCAAACTATTCACCCTTTTGTGAATAGACCTGATAGAATCCAATACCACCAAGTTGCATACCAGCAGTGCCTGGAGCAAAGAATTTACTTGCTGTCCGCTAGAAGGGTAAGTGAACTTCTGCCATTACAGATGTTTATATATCACTGACAATTTATGCCACCCTCTACATATTTTACATTCACATCAGTCCTTGCCCTCAAGGAACTTACAAGCTTAGGTCCCTACCTCATATGCATATATGTACCCACATATCAAGTGTAGCTACATGACCATATGTTGAAGACCACAAAAGGTGCTGCATTAACAAGTAGGTCTAGTTTGGGGAGTTGTATTTCTATCCAGAATCATATATTACACTATTCATTTATATAGAATAAAGAGTTCTATTTATGGCCACAAACATACTTGTGGCAATTTAGTGAGGAGCCAATTAACCTAACAGCATGCCTTTGAAGTGTGGGATGAGATCCACATAAACACAGGGAGAACATGCAAACACCACACATGTAGTATCCTTGAACCTATGGCCACATTGCTGCACAGTAGGAGCACTAACCACTAAGCTACTACACCTCTTGCTTTAAAGATCAGCTTTGCTTCTAAAACATGTGTTCTTTTAACATATCCTACAAGCAACTTTGCAAAAATAACCTCTTACCTCTCTGCTTTGAGTGCTGCTTTTAGAAGCACAGGTCAATGTAAACATAGTTGTGTTGATGTGCACCTTGTCTGCAGTCTGACGTGTGTCTGACTGCAGGCACTGCCAACATGGAAGGTATTTTTTCACGAATCTGTCAAATTTACCATCTTTGCTGCCAGGAGCCATAAAAGATCATTTCTATGTTGTAATGTACTTAAGCAAACACTCATGCATATAAACTTGAAGGGTTCCCCAGTCAGATCTCCGGTACGTACATGCTGTCCATGTGTGTAATACAGTCACTCTAATTGTACAATAGATTTATTGTACTGATGCATGGAGGCACTCATCATTAGTATATAGAGCTACTATTCTGGTACTTTTAACCTATAGCTTTATTATTGTTGTGTTGGCAGAAAAATGCAGCAGAAGCCACCTTGGGCAATGTGAAAGATCAATATGCTATGCAGTTGACAGACCTGCAAGAAAACATTACCCATGTTGAGTCAATGCTTCAACAAACACGAAGGGATGTCAATCACCAGATCTCAGAATTTACTCTTCTCTTGAGTTTAAAGACACGTCTTGAGGCTGAGATCGCAACTTATCGTAGTCTTCTGGATGGAGGAACTAGGTGGGTAATGGCATGATGAATATGTATAAAATACGTGAAATAATAGGACTAGGTTCACCAAAATGGGCATTTCAGTAACTATTGACAGCAGAGGCTTTGTTTCACTAGTCAGCTTGTTGTTTAATAGAGAGATTGGGTCCACATCTGCTAAAACAGTACAATTGTCCAAGGACCTGTATCACTCCTTACCGGAACTCCCATACGTATTAGTGGGTGCTTGCAATGACCGCAGATGGCGCCGCACTCAGCATAGTCTTGTGTAAAAACGTCACCAGCACGACAGAGACTTGAATGTCAGTGCAAATCTGAGCCTGATGAAGAGGACCCTGCGTGGCCCCGAAAGTGCTTGATGACACTCTGAGTGACGACTGACATAAATAAATGGATTTGCACTGACATTCAAGTCGTGCTGATGTGCTGGTGACGTTTTAACACAACACATCTGCTAAAAGACCGCAGGGTGCTTTTACAGAAAAGGTTGTAGCTCTTTAGGAACCATTTAGGGGTTTTGTTGAGCAGACAGTTTAGTGAGCGTTCCTTTAAAATAGAGCTCAAGTACAAATGTTCTGAATATAGTGGGGATGGTTTAGAACAGCCTTTCTCAACTAGGATGCCATGCCCACCTGGGGTGACTTTTGGTTACCTCAGGGGTGCCTCAGTGTCATGCCTTTCCATGGTGCAGGCAGTCTTAGAGTTAGCCTCCCATCCCTGCCATGCTGCCACAGCTGGGGCTCTTACTGTGATGGTAGTACTCTAATGAGAATGGGGGACTGAGCACTTTAATATGAAGGAGGGGAACTCTTATGTAAAACGGGGTGAATCTGATATGAAAGAGGGGCCCTGATGTAAAAGGGGAGCTTCTTATGTAAAGAGGGTTCCTGATGTGAAGGGGGACTGCTCATGTGAAGAAGGGGCTCTGATGTAAAAGAGGGGCGCTCTGATGTGAAAGAGGGGGGCTCTGATATGAATGGAGGGGGTTCGGACGTAAAGGGGGCTTCTAATGTGAAGGGAGGCTCCTAGTGTGAGAGGGGTAACTGATATAAAAGGAGAGGCTTCTGATATGAAAGGAGTGAAGGGGGGCTCCTGATGTAAAGGGGAACTCTGATGTGAAGGGGGCTTCTAATGTGAAGAGGGTCTCCTGATGTAAATGGGGACTCTGTTGTGAAAGGGGACTTTGATGTGAAGGGGGCTCCTAAGGTGAAGGGAGGACTCCGCTGTGAATGAGGGAACCTCGTATTTTTTAATATCCAAGATAGCGTCTGGTATGGATTTTGGAAGGACCACATGTCATTTATTAAATTTTTACATTTTAGACTAGCGTGCCTCAGGATTTTGCATACTTTTAAATCATGCAATCATATGACTGAAACAAAAAAGGTTGAGAAATGCTTGTTTAGAACCTCTATCCGGGCTTTGTTACTAAGTCCTCATTGGACGGATTGATGCTCTCTATGTGTCCTGGTGATCATTGTGATCAGACCAGAAAGTGAGGAGAAATTGAACATTTTATAGGTGTCATCGAAGCACAATAACTTTCATTGGAATACCTTTTATTGGAATAACTTTCATTGGGGACACGTGTTAAATAAGGAATTGCCTTTAATTAGGGGAAGTTTTATATTTACTTCTTGTAGTATATCTGAGGCTGAGAGTAAAGGTTCTAAGCCTTACACACAAAAAAAAATAGGCTACAGTAAAGAGAATATGTCACTTTGCCCAATAATAGGTCCTTTTGCATGAACACCCCCCACCCCCGCTGTTACTTACTCTTCATGTACCTCTTGCTGCTCCTTTTACCTGTTGGAAGCTTTGATAAATACCCGGAGCTTTTACCAAGATGTAGTTCTCGGGCCTGAGCAAATTAAAATCAGGCCAATTACAAGGTCTGAACACTGTCATCTGACGTGGAAGAGAAAGAAGATAACCTTGTGTAAGCTCCATCACCATCAGACACAGAACTTTCACAAGGTTAAGAGACCATTCTCCAACGAAGCAGCAGGAGAGTGCACAGAAGGTATCAGCGAAATTAGTTTTCTTACAAGACTACCTGTCACTGAACTCTGATTCTCTTTTAATGTCAAATAAGTTCTACGGCAATTTAAAAAAAAAAACCCACAAAGTTCAAAAGGGTAAAAAAGGTCATTAAAAGGTATTATGCCACAAGAAGATTAGATGATCAAGTTTAAACAATATAACTACCTCTTTCATGTGTCAGTACCAGTGGTAATAGCCATGACATAAGCCTTGGAAGGATGAGGGTATTATTCTGCATAGCCCCGTAACCTTGACTTCTAATATCATTGTTTATGGGAAAATAGAGGATTAAGGACAGGTGTGAATGACAGTGTCATGACTTGTTTCCAAGTCTCTACTCTACATTGTCAACATGAGCCTTTTTTTTTATTTTACAGCTTAATACCCAAATGAAGACACACTGAAAAGTTAATGGATGGAAAACAGGAACGGCACAGCATGCGTAATCAAGCCTGTACAACACTTTGTTTTCTTATGACATTCATATATTACAAAATGCTTTATGAAACTGTACAAACACTGTAACGACAGACGGGGAACGTTTGGCAGAGTCAACCTTTGCTGCCAAACCGACGCATTGGCTTTATACCTGTTATCAATGTGATTGTCATGTAGAAGTTAGCATTAGTATTCATTATCCTCATATAAAGTACCTTCTCGTGTGAAATCAATAAGCTTTTATATTTTATGTTTTTGTTTTCATTCTCCTCGCATTGTATATACTGTGGCAAGTCCTAACTGCTACCCATCTTCTCTGCCGGCACAGTGGGAGTCTTTGCTGAGCAGCTTTTTCTATGATAAGAGTTTATATTGTACTTCATGGCAATGGTTCTCGGTGTGTGTGGTATATGTACCCCCAGGGTGACATCAGACTCATTTAGGGGATACTTCTGCTTATCAAATGACAGCTTAAGGTGCATCCACACCTACTGTAAATAAGAAGGAAATTGCAAGTCAACGGAAGGTCCTTTGACTTGCATTTTGGGAATGCACCAATACCAAGTACCATACTCGGCACAAGTACAAATACAAGTACAGATACTTTTCAAGCTCCAAGACTAGACTAGAGAAAAATTCATAAGTTAGGAGGCAGCTGTCATTTGTAAGAAGCACATGGAGTTCCTGGGATTTGTACATCTCTGTTTTAATGTACAATTTTTTTTTTATACATTTATATAAAGGGATGCACCGATACCATTTTTACAAGTACTAATACTTTTCCAAGTACTTACAGATACAAGTACTGATACATTTTTGTTTATTGTCGAGTTTTTCTAAAACAATACAGACTAATGATTTCAGGACAGTGGTGGAGCGCCAGAGCTACTGTAGGCCCCAGCTGCAACCCTGGTAGTTCTCATGAAAATGCCAAGTATCGGCAGTGGTATCGGTGGATCCATACTTGCAATTGCACATTCCAATTTCCTTCTGATCCGTTGCATCATGATCAGTTTTTCAACAAATGGTAACTGAGGGGCACCAAAAAATTAATGGGTGTGAATAGGGCTAGTCTGGATCCGTTGCGTATCGTTGTGCTGAAAAAAAGTAGGACATGTTCTACGCAATGTAGAATGCAACATAATGCAACGTAACAGAACAATGTGAACTGGTCCCTCTCACACCTATTCAACGGATCGCAACACAATGGATCCAGTGTGCATAGGTAGAAGTAAAGTTAAAAAATAATAATAAATCACTGGGAGGTAGGGATTTTTGAGAGAAGAGACAAACAAAGTATTTTCGGCCAAAAATTCTTCCTCTCTCCACTAGCAATTTTTTAGTCTATGTGTTCGCTGTATAGCAGATGCCTTAGGCCGTGTACGCATTCAGCCTGTTCTCTTGCAAATGGGCCTGATGCTGGGAAGGATGTATGCATGGGTGCAGGAGCTACTGTATATCATCAATGTCTGCCCAATGGCCGAAGAGGATGCCTGGGAACCCAGAAGTGGCGGCGGCAGAGATGATGAGGGACAAAGAGTCGGACTGAATATTGATTCCACAGCGCTGGAGAAGGGTACACTTGTTAGGTAAGTGTGTCCTGATGTACAAGTATGCTTTGCAAGCACAATGAGTAAGGTAAGTCAGGCACAATGCGCTTATGATTTCTATTGCAGGGACAAGTCTATAATTTTGCCTCTTTATAGATCAGTGGTTCGGCCACAGCTGGAGTATGCAGTCCAGTTTTGGTCACCGATACTCAGAAAGGATGTCCTTGAGCTGGAAAAAGTCCAGAGGCGGGCAACCAAACTTATTATAACTATGAAACAAGGTTGTTAAAATTAAATATGTTCTCGTTGGAGGCTAGGAGATTAAGGGGGGGGGCATGATTTTCATGTATAAATTATTCAAGGGTGACAGCAACCTCAGTAACAAACTGTTTACAGTCAGCTCCGTAACAAAGAACAGAGGGCACAACCAAAAATTGGTGGGAAAAAAAATGTCACCGCGCAGGGGGTTCTTCACAGTTAGAGCGGTTAAGGTCTGGAACTCGCTGCCACATGAAGTGATTTCAGCTAAGAGTGTGGAATCATTCAAGAGACTCCTGGACGAGTTCCTGGGAGACCATAACATTCAGGGGTACAGGTATGCTAAAAAAAAAATCACACATGGACTCATATACAAGCACACACCAGCTCATAAATGCATACACAAAATAGGTTGGACTTTATGGACATATGTCTTTATTCAACCTTATGTAACTATGTAGAGTACACCGCTCTAAACCTCCCAAAATATCCTGTCCTTGTGTCCTGCAAAACCACAATCCACCTTTCAAGGAGGAACAGAAATCAGAACTGCAATTTTCTTAATTCTTCTTAATAAATACATATACACTGAGTGGCCAGATTATTGTGACCACCTGACGTTTGTAGGCAAATTAGCTATAATTAGCTATAATTTCGCGCTGAAGTTGCTAGAGGGCCAGACCATTACCATTTACATTATAAACAACGCGATTTACCAGC